CCATTCATGATATTCATTTGACAGCTGTAGCTTGATTTTCACAAGATTTTTTATAGAGATGATCATCTTGTACATGTAATACTGTGTACATGTGAATCCAATAATATAAACATATAACACTTAAACCTGAATGGGGCCACAGTGAGTACTTTACATTTTTCATGCTTTAGTACATTTGACTGTAAATGCATGGGTACTTTTTTTAAAGGCATTATTTCTCAACTGTGTTACTGCTACCTCAGAATACCTCTGTCACCAGTGGCTATGGGCAGTGGGGACTCTCAGGAGAAAAGCAGAATGCTGTTGCTCAGCCTACTTTAAAAGCTTCTTGTTTTGAATTGTCCTGACCCTTCAAACCCAGTTTCTTGAAATCTTTTCTCATTCTCATGAGGAAAAGTTGGAGCTAAAAGATCCCCCGCACATGACATCATTGCATTGTCTGACTGGAGAATTGCCATAAATGTATAATTCATATTCTGACAGGCGACAATGTACGGCATCGTAACAATACTTGCTATACCATCATGTTTTTGTGCCCTGCAGAAAATGACACATTGTTGTACTTCTGCCCTGTATCGGCCCCTGTCTCTGTGAATGAAGCACATTTACCAGCACAATGGCGGTTTACATAAAAAAAATATATTACAAAGAAATAAAATCGTATCAGTCGAGCCCTGATGTTAAACAAATACCCAGAGAAAGCATCCTTTTCCTCTTTGGGCTGCCTCTTGATTCCATTTTCTAATTAATTACTGACTGCAACACCTTTGCTGTGCCGACATGAAGACTGACGTGTCCCTGGGCCCCCAGTCGCATTCACCAGCAGGCCTGGTGGCAGGGGAGCTGTGTTTTTAATCACCTGGCCACTGGCATTATCAAGCTGGAGGACCCGTCACCTGCTCTGCACACAGATGCTTGTTCATTCATCTCTGCCGGAGGTCAGTGCAGCTGAGAAAGTAGTGCCTGCTGCGTCCTCAAACCACTGCTGTACGCTTCAACTCTCCCTATTTAGGGCCTCTTAAAGGCACCACATGTTGCATTGTACCCTCAATGAATCATTACTGCATTAGTTCTGTGGTGTTAGTTCTGTTCTGTCTAATTGCTGTCAACAGAAGACCATTGCGGGGATGCTTCCTCACTGCATTTAGCCACCATGTAGGTTTGGCAGGAAATCTATTGGATCGCTTTGCAGTTATCCTACGGTGCTAGGTTCATGGAAGATATTGACTGACTGATTCTACAACAACATAATACACAACATTATTCCTGTTACATTATTGAAAGTAGTTTGAAATTCACATTATTTGACCTTTTGGCTGTTAAGGGACTGCGTTTTTCTCTTACTCTCCTTTGTTGAACCCTAAAATACTATTTATTTTTACTGGAACACTGCCACTGTAAAAAGAGGGCAACATAGAAGACCTCACTGTCGTCTGTTTCCTAATATCTCACCACCTCTCTGTGCTGTCGGCAGGGAGAGGTGTTGAGCCTGTAATTCTTCATTATTGTTTAGGTTTAATTCCAAGTGAGGGCCAAGACACCCCCAAAATCAGAAGTCCCTCCACTATCCTTGCAGTGTAAGCTGACATAGCTGGAAAACAAGGACTCATATACAACAGCATATGGTCAAAATACTCTATGATATATAACATCACCGTTGCTCAGGCTTACACAATGTAAGCAAGTTTTTTTTTATTATATCAACCGTTATACTGCCCCATTCGTATATGATAATATTTCAAATGCAGATCAGATTATGTTTCCTATGACATTAGGTACATTTTTCAGGTTCCAAACACAAAAACACTTGGTGCATTCATCAATGACTTGGGCTTCTGTGGATTTTGATTCCCCCACAGTAAAGAGAAAATGATGGGGGCAGAGGAAGCAGCCAGATGGCTGTGTAACATCAGTGTGTCTTTGTGGGAAACCAACAAAAAGCTGTGTGCCACATCATGTGCAATTTGCTAAACTGTTGAACTTTTGTCAACTTTCACCACTTTGCCTGAAAAGAAGCAGCGCACTGCACTTTTCCAAAGTGAACATTTTGTATCCACTTCCTGGAAAACTTCCTATTGACTTTTCACGTACAAAAGGTGCTGAGAGCTTGCAAAAAGGGAGACTACAAAGCCTAACCTTTCAAATTAGAGCTTGCTTTGTAATGACTTGCCTGTTACCTTTTGTTGTAGGTACTTGGTAATCTAAACATAGCCAAGGTAATAAAGTTAATAGAAGGAAAGACAAGAAAGGCAAAGCAAATTTCTGCTCCGCTAAGAGTAATTTAGCAAAACAACTGAATATCTTGTTTTTTCTCACCTTCTGTGCTTTGATTCTACACCTTGCTGCAGTGAAAAGGAAGTGTAGCTGCTCTAGGTGTGTTCGCCTTGACATCACTGAGTGTGTTTACAACGTGCACAAGTAACCTGGTTATGATAGGATTTTTGGAGTATCCTCGTTATGTGCATGTAAACAGTTTATCATCGTTTCAGAAACCTGGAAAAGAAATTATCCTGGTTTTAAGAAACCGACCTACGGCTGGAGATTTGGCCTGGGTCCATCCAGGCAGAGAATCAAAGCTCTGCCGTAATAGAAACGAAATATGGTGGCCAGGGATTGAATGATGTGGGGGGTTTCAGGGCTGGTACAAATACCAATTATTAGTTATCAAGGAAACCAATAACCAAACTGATATACATTTGCAGTAAAAATTTAATTATATAATACATATCACAAATGACAATTTGTCTCAATCTGTACAACATTCAACACTCCCTGTCCTTAAACTCCCTCTCCTTAGACTCTTTATTTGGGTAAACTCTGGGAAAAAATGGAAGAAACGTCAGAAATAGCCACAGACTAAAAACCAGGATACTGGGGCGTACAGTGATCAATAATTCTGGCTGTGTTCAGAGCAGAGAAAGAGAGGGCAGTAAAACACTGTTTCACTATTTAATAATTTACATTTTTCTTTTCAAACCTGGCAGCAATTGAAGGCCCAAAGCATTTCTAGATCTCATCTCCTTAAAATCCAACATTAAAAAATTAATATAAATATATATATATATA